TTTGACATGTACTTCTTAGGTGTTTCTTCTTATGATATTAGAATAGCTTAACTTATCAGCTACCAGTAGGAAATGCACTTAAATCATAAAAAGCATAAAAATAATATGGTCATTTTGGTGAAAAATCAAGTTACAGATCCAATAAGGTTAAAGAAACCCCCAAAAGACATATACATAAAAATCATGCCTAGGTACATCATAGTCAACTCACGAAAACTAAAGATAAAAAAAAATTAAAGATAAAATTAAAAGTGGCCAGAGGAAAGGAAATCAAAAAATTACCTCTAACATCTCATCAGAAACTATAGAGGACAGAAGACATAGAAGAGTATCTTAAAACTGCTAAAAGAAAAAAATGAACCCAGAATTCTCTATCCAGCAAAAATATTGATTCTGTAGACATAAATCCAAGCATATCAAAAGTTATATTAAATATAAATGAGCCAAAAACCCCAATTAAAAAACAGATACAGCCATATTAGATAAACATAGAAAACTCAAACTTAATTGTCTATAAATGATACACTTTAAGTATGAAGACACTGATAGATTGAGAGTAAAAGATTAAAAAAAGACCATGCCATGCAACACCAAGCAAAAGTTGGAGAGACTACATTAATATCAGACAAATTAAACTTCACAACTAGAAATATTACCAGAGATCAAGAGTGTCATTTCATTAAGAGAAAGAATCAATTCATCAGGCATATCTAACAATCCTAAATGTGTATGCATCTAATTAGAAAATTTCAAAAGTGCATAAAAGCAAATATTGAAAAAATTTAAAGCAGAAATAAAAAGATGCACACATAGTTTAAGATTTCAGTACTCTTAGAAGTTGATAGAATATGCATAGAGAAAATCAATAAGAACATGGAATAATTGACCAATACTATCAATCAACTTGTCCTAATTGACATTTATAAAACATTCCATTCAACAATAGCTGAATATACATTATTTTAAGTGCACATGGAACATTTCCAAATATTGACTATATACTGGCTCATAAAACAAGTCTCAATAAATTTAAAAGCATTAAAATGATGAAGAATATGTTTTCTGACCACAATGGAATTATTAGGAATCAATAATTAAAAGATATTTGAAAAATTCCCCACATAAATTATAAGAGAAATGAGAAAATATTTTGAACAGAATTAAGAAAGTTCATGCAAGATTAACTCCATGTGATGGAATCGACAATTCAAGGGGCATAAAGCCGGATAGTTTCCTTTGGTAGAGTTAGAGGGCCTATATGGGTGGATCACAGGGCTGGGGTAAAGTACAAAATGAGGTCAGAGAGGTGATCAGGGCCAGATCTCCAGTGGGCCCAACTTAGGGAGTATCTCTGTCGCTTCATTTGCACCCAACTTAGCATTTAGCATATGGAACCTAGGATGGCACCTAGGAACATCCTAATAAAGATGTTGCAGAAATGAAGTTCTTCTTGACTGTTGGTATAATCAAATTAACTTTATTCTTTTCACATGATAAAGTTGGCTGCCAAATGATTGATCTGAGTGTGTGTAAGAGATCCTTTGTTTCTTCTAGACAGTACGGTCCTATTTCATGTTTCCCTTGAAGTGGTTTCCATCCTGTTTCTAACCTCTCTAATGCTTTGTTTTTTGTTTATCACCTATGGTATTGGTCTTCTGACTCTTATCCCTCAAAATATCTTGAAGATTCTCTCTGACAACATTCATGAGTGCCTGTGGGTAACAATCGTAGCATTACGTCACCTGTCTTCCTTCCATTTCAAAATAAACAAAGGAGAACTTCAATTCAAATGTTGATATCTGAGATGGAAATACAGTCATTTCACACATTTCAATGTGATGTAGATTCAAGAAGTTCATAAAGCATTTGTCAATATGAAATTCCGTGAATTAAATCATCTACTGTCTTTATTCTGTTAAATAATATGCTAAAACCAAAATGTGGTCTTTTTAATTTTAAAATAAAATAAGCATATTTATGATTGTTTTTATTAGAATGATACAAATTTTTATATATTCTGATTTTTTTCTTGGACTTAAACAAAATAATACCCAGCATCTTTATTTTTTTTTTAATTCACTTTACACAGGCAGTACATTTTTCAAGTGGAGGAGCCATGTCAGTGGTGTGGGGGAGAGGAGGTTTTCAAAGACAGAACTTTAAGTTTGAAAATTAGTGACTAATGGAGCATATCCAGTAGGTATTTTTCATACAACTTAGCATCATCATTATATAATGATACTGCTTTGATGTGAGATTAACTCAGACACATGATTTTTCATCCCAAAGTATCAAGATTATAGAACAATGAACAGTGGAGTTATAACAAGGGAAAGATATTAGGATAAAATTTCAAAAGAAAATACTAAAAATAAAATTTGAAGTAGCCTTGTTATTCACAAATGGTGCCAAGTCTATCATAGATAAAGGGAAAACTATGAAGATGAAGAAAATGACTCAGCAAACCTTAAGGTGGAAAGGGGGTGTTACAGAGTTAAACAAGTCCCAGGGTTTTTTACAATTTCTTATACAGAGTACACCAAGTGAGAACTAAAGTACGCTGCACTGCGTCTCCTACCTCAGTCCAGCCCAATGAAAGAACTTTTACTTTTGGATTTTTATTCTTGTATGAGTCTGCACATATTGTCCTAAGGGGACAGTAATCTGGCATGTTGACCAAACCTTGACTTGAAAACTCTTCTCATTCCTTTCCCCTGCATCTTATCCCTCAGTTGGTAAATGGAATATTTTTCAAACTAATTCTATGGATCTCCCTAAAATGAACTACAGTCTAGGCAAATATAAGAAATGTATTTACATAGCAGGTTTCAGTTTCGTGCATACTTGATTTGTGAATTATGACAACCTTCTCTGATAGGAGAGGAGGACGTGCTGCCCCATTTAGGGAGGTCGGTAACTGAGCTGTAGAGATGCTGAGGGACTTGTTCAAACACTCATGACCAGCAAGTGATGAATCTTTGAATTACCTCATCAACTGTGATTTCTACCTCTAGTATCTCTTAATTAAAAATCAGTCTAAAATCTCTTCAGATTGAGCCTTTGTTTGAGTCTCTGCATTAGAAAGAAGGAAGGTCACAGACAAGTAAAGTCTCAATCTGGGACAGTTAACTCATGAGGAAATATGAAAGGGAACTGTCATTACTTTATGGAGTGTATAGACTTCTGTGTGCCTTTACTGAATATGAAACAGCGTCATTTATTGCCACCAGGCCCTGACTTTGTCAAATATCTACCATTTTATAGGACATACTTCATTCTGTGTCACATGTTTGAGGATAATTTCTTTACTAAACAAAGCTGCTTCATAGAAGTCCCTCTGAATTTGTCATTACCTGAAATAATGATGGTATTTCAACACGGCTCCAGTAAATGTCTTGATAGACATATCATAGATTATAAACACATCCATTGAAATGCTAACCATGGTTGCAAAGCAGATTATCTTATTTAAAGACACTGGTTTTAAAATTTAGACATTTAATTTAATTATCTTTTCCCAGAAGTACAGAAGGAAATCAGAAACCTAGTGTGAATAACATTATCTTCACAGAAATGAAAACTTACAAGAGCATTTTTTGCCACAAACTCAATAATTTTAGTATAATCACTAACTATGTTTTTGTTTTACAGAACCAGTGTGATTTGAAAAAAGAATAAAATTGCTTTTAAAGTACAAAAATAATTATGAACCACTTGAAACGTAATGTCTGTGTTTTATTTCTCATCAGAATTCATTAGTGTGTAACATCAATAATTTAGCCCATCATTTGCCAACACTGACTTGGCTCAGTAGTTCAATCATGTAACCCTGTAAACTCACTTTCCATTAAAATGAATGTTGCTGACAAAGGATAACTAAAGAGATACTTCATTTATTAACTAAAGAGGTACTTCATTTATCAACATTTTTAAATGAGGAGTTTGGGGCCACAGAAGCTTAGCTGGATGATTTATATGAAGGATCTTTATATGAGTCCTAGACTTGTTCCAAATCATACGATGCTACCCACAAAGATAATCGCATTTCATTTGTGTAACATGTGAGCCAGGGCTGTCTTCAGAGGGAGGCAGAGCCACCTGCAGAGAATCAAATGACCTACCAGAATGAAAACTTGACTGCTTAGTATAAAATTATGAGATGAGCAGCATTCTCCTATATCCAATTTACTCCGTTGGGTGTATTTCTTACAAAACCCATAATATGACGTCCAATATTCTAGTATCTTAATTTAAAAATTGATTTGAGGCATTAAGTAAATAGGTTAAAATTAGTTAATGATGAGCCGACGGCTCCCCAATATCCACAAATTGTACTTCAGGACGTTCAAATTCCTCATCACTTGCCACTGACCGACACCTCCCCAGGTCCAAATGCCTGTAGATGTTGCAGACACCGTTTGAACACGAGAGTTTCATTTTCCCGAGCTGATCCCACGTCCTGCTGCTAGGTTAACATCACACCATTTTGGATGCAAAAAGCAAACAAACAAATAAAAACATCTGCAGTGCAGTGAGCAAAGCACGAAATCAAAATTCCTTGTATAGAATGTAAAATTTTCATTTCATAGGCCTTTAAACATATAATTTCTAGCAAATAATGAAAGACTGCATGAACATATCTTTCCTCTCTTCTTCTGTAATGAATTAAATGCATGTTTCTTATTAAAACTTTTTTATAGAACTAGGAGGATCTCTGCGTTTAGCTTCTAGAGTCGCCAGCTGGCATCTTTCCATGTTTTGGATCAAAAAGTTCTCAGCCAACTGATACACTCAAAAGTCAAAATCCAGGGCTAGTGTTGGATTATAAAATGTTATTTTTACTGTATTTAACTGCTTTTTTTCCTTATCTCATCTCTTCTCTCCTCTTTTTGCTTTCCTTCCTTCTTTAGAAATATTTATCCTGACAGATTCTTAATAACAATGATGCTACAGAAAAGCTTTCTCATGCCCTCTTTTATCTTTTCTTTACCTTATAAAAGTTAAGAGAGAGGAAAAAGACTCTTCCAAACATATGAGGAAGGAGTTACTCATCTCACAATGCTGTGTTAGTTTTTGAGAAGAAATAGAGGAAGCTGCACCGTGTGAATGCAGACAGCATCGACGGACAGCTCGTGAGTTCCAGTATCATTGCATTAGCTCATGCTTCTATAATATTTATATTTTGAATTTGTGTTTATTTTAATTTGATTGCCACAAATAACCCTGCAAGGAAAATTTTATTATGCCCATTTTACAGATAAATTAACTCTCAAAGAGCTTAAATGGACCATCTCTGTGACATAGCATGTACGTGGTGGAGCCACTAAATTAATTCATAGACAAATAAATCAGGGCAATGTTAAGAACAATGTCAGATCCAGTTTTTCCTTACTTGAAGAAATCTTTTATTTTCTACAAGATATGCCCTGGAGGCAGTGGATTTTAAGTCAAGTAGAGGAAAATTTATTTTTAAAATAATATTTGGGACATCTCTTGTGTATTAATTTTCCTGGTTCCAGTCTGCCCTTAAGGCTAGAAAAAAATCAAGAAATTGTGTAAAACTAAAAAGTCATGAGATATATCTAAAAGGAGGCTTTGAATTACGAAGAAATGAAGTAACATATCTAGAAATGTGAATGTAAAGAAAACAGCAATTTGCATTATTCACGAGCTCATTATCTACAAGCAAATATGCAACAGCAAAAACTTCAGAGAGTCAAAATAAGGAAACCCACTGAAAGAAGAATGTCAAGGCTGCAGAAATTAACAGTGAAAAACGATGTCACTACATTGCTTTACAAGAGAAGAGAAGAAAAAGTATCTAGGTGTCTGTAAGCTATAAAAGGCTCTTTATTTCTTTTGCTATTAAATGTAACGTTTCTAAAAGGGCATGCTGTTCATTATTTTTAAGTTGGGCCAGGTGACCACGTATTTTTTTGAGTAACAAAGATGAGTTCAGGAGTGGGATAAATATCTGTCCTGTATTATTATTTAATAAGATAGACTACAGTTTGTCAATGGCAAGACACGCACAGACTGTATTTGCAAGACAAATGGCTCAAGATCTTGATGAAGTCTGTAGACATGAGGGGGTTTTTTCTATAAGAAATGTGATTTACTGCGTAAAGAGGTGAAGCCTGCAGTTTTGGGCGAAAGCCCATTATCACCGGCTTTACCAGCTAAGCCAATTAATAGGTGCAGAAAATATTGAATGTGATCAGTTAGTCTGTTAAGACATGGTCCCATGATACCCCCAGGTTATCCCACAAAGCAGAGTACTTTCAGTAAGATGACATACCAGCAAATTGCCTTCAAGCATAGGTTGGCATAGGTATAAACCAAATAAAAAAGAATATACCTATAATTGGATAATAGAGCAATTGTTATTGGTCATATTAATAAGTCTAGTTTCACAGACTATGTTTTTTCTTTTGATGAAACGAATAAAGCTGTAGTCTTTAGAAGCAGAACTGTCCCACAGTAGGAGCCACAAAAATCTATAAAAGAAAATAAATGTGCTTGCTTTACAGAGGTGCTAAAGCAAAAATAGCATGAAAAAGCAACAAAAGACAGTAAATTGTTTTATTAAGAGCTGCTTTTAGGTACACTAATTGGACATCTTTCAGAACCGAGGAACCATTATATTCCAGCAACATTCAGAAAATGACACTTTCACACACTTGCCATCCAACAAAGCATTTTATTCCCATAATAGGTCATTTTAGTATATTTAACTAAACCTTATTTGTCCCAATGACACTCTGCAAGCTTCCTTTAAAATTTAAATTCTTTTTAAGTAAAATTTCAAAAATGAGTTTTATTATGTGTGTGAATAATCTATGAAGAATGTAAGTTTAAGCCAAGAACTGTAATTATTAATAATTACTAATACATATAAATTCAGTTATTTATAGGAACACCAATTATGGAAGCTCACGTCTATTTTCAATTTGCAAGATACTCTTTACGCAACTTTGAAGTTTTATTCGATTATTTGATAGTATCAAGTACATCTTAAAGTTTTTTGGTTTTTAAAAATTTTTTAAGTTTTTCCAAGGAAGATTAGCCCTGAGCTAACATCTGCTGCCAATCCTCCTCGTTTTGCTGAGGAAGACTGACCCTGAGCTAGCATCCGTGCCCATCTTCCTCTACTTTATATGTGGGACGCCTACCACAGAATGGCTTGCCAAGCTGTGCGTAGATCTGCACCCAGGATCCGAACCAGTGAACCCTGGGCCACCGAAGCAGACCATGCGAACTTAACTGCTGTGCCACTGGGCTGGCCCCTTAAAGTTTCTTTACTTACGCAAAAACTTAAATATCATTAAACCCAAATTATGCAGACAATATGTGCCTAAAATCTTCAGCTTTTTTCCTGTAAATTTTGCAGCAACTTTCACATTTCTACTTATGTAATATATTTATTTTGTTAAAATCAACTCTGACTTACTGCGAATAAGTTTTGTAATCTTATGCAAAGTGGTACTGGTTATCTTTCTAACATATATGAAACCCATGAAACATTCCATAATTAAGAAGACTTTCATGTTTTCTTCGGATATCTTATACAATATAAAAACTATTTTTCTACTTTGTTACAGTGGTCCCATCACATATTTTTAAATAATCTAATGAATACTGGTCTTATTCACCGTGTTGCAGCCATATTTTAATTGGATTTTCCTTTTGATGTTCACCTGTGAAGGAATCAAGTCACAAAATCATTAAGCTGAATTATATTTTCATGTTTATCAATTGCTCTGATTTTTCATCAACTCTGATTTTTCTTTCACTCAAAGATAAAAATAGACTTATCTCACCCTTTCAAAGAAAATACAGTTTTCTAAGACAAGTGTTAAATAATTATTTTCTGCTACGAATTTCATGTATATTCAAGTACATTTGATTTCCCTCAATCTCTTTTGGATGACGAATAATGTTTGTCATGTATTTTCACCATAATATGAATAATGTAAAAATTGTAATGATTTCAAACACGCATTTCTAAATGTAAGAAGATAAAAAAGTTAGCATAAGAGATAGTACCAAATTTCTCTAAGCAGAGACCATTTTTTATTAGAAAAACATTTTGACAGACAACTTGGGCAAGGTGCACAAGAAGAAGAGAGAACAATACACAAAATTCTTGTCATGAATCACTGAATTGAGGTGTGCAGTGAATAGCAGAGAATTCCTCAGGAGCAGAGTGAGTCAGTGAGCAATATGGTAGAAGACCAGAGCCCAGGTTGACAGAAATAGCTAAGGGATAGAGGGAGGAAAAAAGATATCTAAGGAGTAGTCTGTATTGAATGATGTAATCTGTACCACTCACCTCTAATCCCTTAGTGATTTCTTCTACCATCCATAAAACTTTCAGTGTGGTCCTTATTGTGTAAATTAAGGAAAGGAGATAAGCTTTGTGGCTGAGTTGACCTGAGGAGGCACAGGGATGCACTCAGTGTGGTGAAATGATCCACAAAGAGAGCCAATTCAGTACATTATAGCTAAAGGGGACAGTAAGGACATGAGCACACCAGGAATTCATAGACGTGCTGGGAAAGGCTTGAGACTATTAATTTAATAGATTAATTAAATCAATGTATGCACCAAAATTTCTGTGAACTCCTGGCAACAAGGAGGCATATTGTAGGGGCTGAGTAGAGGAAGGTTATCCTAGTTGAATGTAAAAACCTGTAGAGATTTATAAAAGCATGAGAACATCATGATAAGTAATTCAGGAAAGGAAGAGTGGTAGCTGGCATGGAGCTGATTTCAGCTCTGACCTTGAAGGAAATTGAGGCTCCATTAGATAGTGGAGATTCTGGACAGATGTGTAGTAGGTGATGACTCTTGTGCTCAAGGGAGACACCTGGGCTAGAGAGAATATTTTAGGAGTCATCAGCATATTGCTGGTAATTGAAATTATAGGAAAAGTATCCAACTATACCATAGGAAAAAGCATCAGCTATAAAAGTCTAAAACTCTATGTTATCCACAATTATGCCTAAGTATTACAGATTAATTTTTATTTTTGATTTGATTTTATTGTTATTAGATAGATTTTAATTTTATTTTAGATTTTATTTTAATATTAATTTTATTAATGTTTCTCCTTTGAATTGGTATCCCTCCATAATTTTTCCAGAATTACTAATGGAATATTTTTCTAAGATTTAAACTTACCTGTTAAATTTGTCCCATTTCTAAACTCTACCAACTGAAGTTGTAAGGGGTTCCCATAATGTAGTTACACGCATTCATATTATCACATTATCCAACTTCATGGGGCTAATTGTAACTGTTGAAAACCAGAAGAAATTATCAAAAGTACATGAGATCAAATGATACTTCTACTTCCAGCCAAGATAAAGTAACAGGGGTCATATTTACCCTCTTGCCTGAAACAACCAAACACCAAACAAATTGTATGCAACAACAGTTTTCGAGGCATTTGACATCAAGCTATGGAAGACAGTGATCCCAGAAAGACGTGAAACAAACAAGATGAGCCTTACAATTGTCCCAGCTTACTGCCTTGAAAGAGTTTGTAGACCATGGTACTGGCGGATGAATAGAGTCAGACTCCTGCAATGAGTCCTGCAGACTCTATGAGGTGAGTGGATGGAGTTGAGAGCTCAAGGAGAACAAAGCAGCTAGAGTTCACAGATCAGAGTATCAGAGAGGACAGACCTTCACAGAGAACTCTGGAAATATACTGAAGATTCCCCTTGAATAACCATTTAAGCAATATATGTTTATAAGAAACTACCTGAGACCAAGTAAAGAGTCACTCAAAATATTAGTGGTAACAACATCTGTTTGTTACACAAGACCTGTGCTTACCAGACAGAATGAAAAACCTCAGAATTTGTGGAGAGTTGGGTACTCAGAAAAGTCTTGCCTCCATAAGGGGATTAATTAGCTCTAGGCCAAACACAACTCTGGTCCCACCTAACAAATCTTTTTTTTTTTTTTTCTTTTTTTTAAGATTGGCACTTGAGCTAAGATCTGTTGCCAATCTTTGTTTTTTCTCTTCTCCTCCTCCTCCTCCTCCTCCTTCTCCTCCTCCTCCTCCTTCTGCTTCTTCTCCTCCCCAAAGCTTCCCAGTACATAATTGTATATTCTAGTCGTA